ACTTCAGCCTCCCAAAGGCGCGGGATTACAGGCTGAGCCACCAAGCCCGGCTTAAAAAATTTTTACAGACAGCCTGGGCAACATAGCAAGACCTCATTTCTACAAAAGTAAAAAAAAAAAAAAAAATTAGCCAGGCGTGGTGGCACGTGCCTGTCATTTCAGCTACTTGGGAGACTGAGGTGAGAGGATCACCTGAGCCTAGAAGTCGAGGCTGCAGTGAGCTGGGATCACAGCTCTGCATTCCATCCAGCCTGGGTGACAAAGTGAGACCCTGACTCAAAAATAAACAAACAAATAAAATTTTTGTAGAGATGAGGTCTCACTATGTTGCCCAGGCTGGTCTTGAATTCCTGGCCTCAAGCAATCCTCCTGCCTTGGCCAACCACGCACTGGGATTACAGGCGTGAGCCACTACCCCAGCCTATCATTTATATTTGTGCAGCTCGATATTGTTTGCTCTTCCTCTGACAGTTTGCCAAGCACGCGCATTGCCACACCAGCCCTGTGACACAGACAGAGGGAGTATTATCCCTCCTCTAACAGACAGAGAAATGGAGTCTCAGTGACATAAGTCACTGGAGAGCTTCCTCCGAGTTCAGGGCTCTTCCCTGGGTACTGGGATTCTGCCATCCAGGGGACAGCCAGGGTGCTCCAGCCCTGCACTCCGTGCAGAGCACCTGATGGGTTGGAATTCCCCGGGTCTCTCGGACGCCCTCTCCCTCCAGTCACCTGTCCAGCAGTTCCCAGTCTTCTCCGCCCCAGCGGTCTCGGAACTCCTTGGTGTTCATGCCTCCGATCTTGTCCAGGTCAGACTTGTAGATGCCGAGCAGTCCAAACCCGTTCACCTCCCAGTAGCCTGTGGACAGACAAGAAGCTCCAGGTGACATGAGCCGGGCCAGGAGGAAGGAAGGATGTGTTCCCAGAGCTTTTTCTGAAACGTGGCCAATGCGGGTGACGGAGGCTGAAGACTGTCTGAGCTGAACAAGTCCCTTGCTTGTTTTGGGGGGAAGCCCCTTAACTATGGTTCAGGGTTCAGTAGAAGCAGCGGTCCTGTGCCGGGTGCAGTGGCTCACGCCTATAATCCCAGCACTTTGGGAGGCTGAGGTGAGAGGACTGCCTGAGCCCAGGGGTTCGAGACCAACCTGGGCAACATGGTGAGACCTCACCTCTACAATATATCAAAAAATTAGCTGGGTGTGGTGACACATGCCTGTAATCCCAGCTACTTGGGAGGCTGAGGCAGAAGGATCGCCAGAGCCCAGCAGGTCGAGGCTGCAGTGGCCATGAGCCTGCCACTGCACTCCAGCCTAGGCAATAGAGTGAGTCTCTGACTCCAGAAAAAAAAAAAAAGCAGCGGTCTTACCGTGCAGTGACCACGGCTAATGACAGCCCTGCAGAGAGGATCTGACAGCAGCAGCCCCGGAAGGCACAGCTGAGTGTCAGTTTATGCATCCATTTCCTTTTCCACAGGCTGGGAACCCATCTTTCCATCTTTGAATCCCACAGGAAGTGCCTAGCAAGTGTTTGATGATGAGTAAAGGGAGAGATGGAGCTGGGCGCAGTGGCTCCCGCCTGTAATCCCAGCACTTTCAGAGGCCACAGCAGGAGAATGGCTTGAGCCCAGGAGTTCGAGACCCGCTTGGGCAACATAGTGAGACCCCCATCTCCACTAAAAAAATTTAAAAAATAAAAATGAAGGGGAAGGTGGGCAAGGAGTTCGCCGCAGCTGTGGTGGTCAGCACAGACCTCGGGGCACTTGACCGCCCAGGGGAGCAGAGGCCACGATGAGGGCGGGACGGGGGAAGGGTGTTGCCGTTCCCAGACAGGACCCTTCCTAGCTCTGGAGCTGAGAACCAGGCCGGCGAGGACCCCCTCCCCCCTGGGGCGGGCTCACCCTCGGGCCACTGGGGCGTGGCCCCGCAGTGCAGCCGCATCACCACGGGGGCGAAGGCCATCTTGCCCTCCACGCAGTGCTTCCTGATGGTGTCGATGACTCCAGCCGGGAAGTGGATGTGGAGGTCGCAGAGGAAGATGATGCTGTGGGGGTCCTGGGGACAGACACGGACGGGGTCGCGAGGTCCCACAGAGCAGGGCGAGGAGGGCAGGCCACCCCGGGAGGAGCCCAGGCCTCTTCCCCTTTGGAACGGCCCACACCCTCCACGAGGCCAGCGGCCGCCACAGGGAGCATCAGAGCCTGGTTCTCAGCCATCAGAGTGGGTTCTGATCCCTCCCCGCTTGGGCCGGACTCTGGGCCACTGGGTCAACGCCCCGCTGTCCCTGGCTCGCCCCACCCTAGCCCTGGTCCCACCGCGTAGCTGAGAGGACGCTCTTGTGTCCTCATTTCCGTCCTCCTGGGGGGCCGACTACCTTAAGCATCCCAGATGCCTCTATCTCTCTTTTTTTTTTGAGTCGGAGTCTCACTCGGTCGCCCAGACTGGAGTGCAGTGGCC